AGAGAGAGAGAGAGAGAGAGAGAGAGAGAGAGAGAGAGAGAGAGGCACTGTTGTGAGCGCTCGGAGACTGACTGAGTCGCTGTTCGGAGAAAGCCATAGCCATTCTCGGGCTTCTAGGAGCATAGCCATAGCCGGTACCTTTGTTCACCGCCGGTTCGCTGCTGGGATTCGATGTAAGCGTTCTCAAAAGACTTGCACCCAACCTCCTCGCTTCTGCTCTGTTCCTTTTTTTTTTTTACAATGTCACTTTTTTAAGTGTGAGTCTGTGTGACAAGTCTCTTTTTGCTTTTATTTGTCTTTGTATTTTTTTTTCCTCTTCAGAGCATGCGATACTTCTTTGTGGAGAGGCTGAAGACAACGGTCTTCACCCCAATAGAACGCCCGGTCATTATTGCCGCATGTGGACAGAAAATTGTGCCAGATACAGATTTGATGACCGGGCGTTCTATTGGAGTGAAGACGGTAGTATCTAATACGTGTACGTCGTGTAGTAAATGAAACTGTGAAACTCAACATGGGTGCTTTAATAACCATGGTAAATGTACTGCTTTTTTTTTTTTTCCCTTCCCACCATGGGTTCTTTAATGTCCGTGCATTGTGTGGAGACGAATATATATGTATATATCGTCAAATAGAACTGTATATATATATATATATATATATATATATATATATATATATATATCGTCACAAACAGAACTGCCCAGTAAAACCGTAGGCAGAGAGAGAGAAGAGGACAACAAACGAGGGGCTGTGACAAACTGTTTCGTCGGAGTTTCACCGACTCATCAGGAGGCTGAACCCTATATATATATGTGTGTGTACTAAGTGTAATTCAACTAGGCTGTAGCAGAAAAGGTGGTGTTTTTCCTTTCCCCCTTCGCCCCCCGCAGTCAGGGATACAGTTTGCAATTGTATTTCAAACTGCTTTTTAGCAGTTTAGTCATCAGGGCCCGAGTTTCAAATTTAGTTGAAACTCGGGCTGACCTTTTTTAGCAGTTCAGTCAGCCACGTGTCCCTTTCTTTTTTTTCTTTTCTTTTTTTTTCCCCTTTTTTTTCTCTTTTTTTTTTTTTCCTTTTTTTTTTTTTTTTCTCCCCATCCCCTCCTCGTCCCCTGGCGGGGCCACGGCCAAGATGTCTCGTCCACTCCTGAAGAGAGGGAAGCGGGGGGGAGGAAGGGGGGAAACGGGGAAAAAAAAAAAAAAAAAAGGCCAGCCCGAGTTTCAACTGCAACTTCATTTGAAACTCTGGCTCTGACTAAACTGCTAAAACGCAGTCTGAAATGCACTTACAAGTTACAAACTGCTTTGGTGACTGCGCTGTAAAAAAAATTCAAGAAGGATAACACATGGCTACTTTACTCACTTTTTTTATTCCGTTTTTTTTTTTGTTAAAATGACCATGGGTACTTAAGTGGGGTGGATATCACGAAGGGTACGATTCCACTTTTGAACACCTTGTCCTGGCTGTAGTGGTTAAGAGACTTGGCTCTTGAGGCTGAGGTCGCCAGTTCGAATCTGTGCTTGCACGGAGGAGGATTTAGGCCCAGACGTACGGAATCCATACTACTGTGGAGACGTACGGATACTACTGTGGAGACGTACGGAATCCATACTACTGTGGAGACGTACGGAATCCATACTACTGTGGAGACGTACGGAATCCATACTACTGTGGAAGAATCCATACTACTGTGGAAGCGCCCGTGAACCGCGGGGATTACGTGCTGACTGCAGAGCGAAGTGTCTGTGGGTGTTGTGTGTGGTGTGTGTTGAGTTGGACACTACAGCCTTGCAGGGGCGTGGTGGATATGATTTCACTTTTGAACACCGTGTCCTGGCTGTAGTGGTTAAGAGAGTTGGCTCTTGAGGCCGAGGTCGCAGGTTCGAATCTGTGCATGCACGGAGGAGGGCTTAGGCCCAGACGTACGGAATCCATACTACTTCAGTGGGGTATTAAATTACCCACCTCCTCTGGAGGCTGATCCGAACTTGAAATTTCCTACTTTCTTGGATACTTAGCCCAGGGCCGAGGTCCCACTCGCAAATAGGATCGGATCGAATGCCTGAATCTGGATGTGTTTTATGCAGAGATGCAGAAAAGCAGTTCAATCTCCATTTCCTGCACCTCTTCACAAACACGTCCAGATTCAGGCATTCGATCCGATCCTCTTTGCTAGTGGGACCATGGCCCAGGTCCCCGGCCCTTGGCCCCAAATGTCCATGGGCCCTTTGGTCACAGGCTTTAAGATTGTAGTGGGGCATGCCCTCACGACCAAGGGCGTGCTCACAGTAGTATGACACTACGGGCTGTATTTGGTACAACTTTGAGTCTAGATGCGGCAACAATGACCGCACGTTGTAATAGGGCCAAGAACATAGGACTTTCAAATGCAATGCATTGAGGAATTTCGAAGTGGTAGTGTGAGTATGACATTGGTTGCTCCCCCGTTTGTGTTTGGAAATTGGAAAGCATGAACCTGTTCATAATCACCATCATCAAGTCCATCCTCTGTTAGCAACTTAGCACCAGTGGGGCTTGGCTTCGTGGGGCAGGTCCGTCTGGTTCTATGTTAATGCCAAGAAGGAATGAACCGGGCCACTTTTTCGGATGTTATGCAGGCACATAGCTATTTGTGTACTTGTGTACTTGCCTATAGAACGATGCATCCGTGACTAATATGTATGTTTTTTCACATGAACCATTCTTTCCCCTCCTCCTTCCTCTCCTTCTTCCCCCTCCTTACTTCTCCTCCTCCTTGTCTTTCCTCTCCTTCTTTCCCCCCCCTTAACTTCTCCTCCTCCTCCTTCCCATATCTCCCCCTACCACCCCCAACATCTTCTTCTTCTTCCTCTCCTCCTCCTCCTCCTCCTCCTCCTCCTCCTCCTCCTCCTCCTTAAAGCACCAAGGGTTGAAGGATTGCTTGCTTGCATCGCAGTCCTTGCTGTCTTCGCCTGTTGGTTTTGAAGCTAGAAGAGTAGCTGTTGGCATGTTGCTGTATGGCATGTGGTATTGAACGGACATCCATCAGCGTAGGAGCATGATGACATCTTTCAAACTCTAGCTTCAGAGGGTTGCGTGGAGTGGAGCAAGGAAAGTGAGATAACGTAATCCGTCGTAGTACAGTGGTGATTAGGTCGTATTGTGCTTCTGGCGGAATATAATAGTGTTGCCACACAACGCTGGGCCATCCAGATTACATTCTGCAATATATGCCGACACATCCACAAGCAAAAATCTGGTGAAGTCTCACATGTGGCTACTTCGTTTGTTGGTTGCAGAGTGCCATTTCCTATTTCAGGCAAGAGATCTCTGCAAAACCACTCAAGACGGACTTGTGAAGACCAGGCAGTTCCTTCCAGTTCAGACAAAGAAGACTTTCTTTTTCATTCAATACCATAATGGAGACTATTCGAAGCCTGCACTTGTTTCTCCGACTGGCAGTCATGGGTTTGATCACTCTTACTGCAGCAGTCAGCGTGTCCGCTGGTTGTATTGGTGATGGATACTGCGGATACGGAGGGAAGTGTTGCGCTGGGAAATGCCTAACGGTCAGCTGCTGCTCAAACACGGACTGCGGCTATGGAAAGGTGTGCAAGGGCGGTCAGTGCGTGGAGGACAAGTGCTACAG